AGGTGCCTAAAGCACAGCAAATTCTCAATAAATATTTGCTAAATGAATGAATGAACGAATGAACAACCATTAAGATGAGTGGACTCTGAGAAGGAAGATACTTAAAGGGGATAGGTTTGGCGTTAGATGGTTTGGCTCAGGGGATAGAGCATCAGCCTGCGGACTGGAAGTTCCAGGTTCGATTCTAGCCAGGGTACATGCGGGGTTTTGGTCTTGGTCCCCAGTAGGGGGCATGCAAGAGAAGCAGATCAATGATTTTCATCATTGATGTTTCTCTCGCTCTCTCTCCCTCTCCCTTCCTCTCTGAAATAAAAAAAAAAAAATTAAAAAAAATAATTTAAAAATAAAGGAGATAAGTTTAGATTGTATTGGGCGAGGAAGCACTTCTCTCAAGAGCTTTTAAAAGTAATTATATTGATTTTCAAAGGTTCTGTTTTAAATGTTATCCAGTGAAGGTTTGGCTCATCAAGTAGGAAGGAGCAAAATGGCACAGCTTGATTGGAGCTACCTGTATATCTTTAACAGATACATAATTTGTTCATTACGTATGGTGAAGTTTCCTTAAAATAAGTGCTATGAGTGAGCAGACTTTGAGAGTTGTAACATTTTCAGTATATTCATTCGTCACCAATAAATGAATCAACTGAGGGAAGTGGGCATCAGTTTTTAAATATATACATCTTGTGGCAGTTGGCTAGTAGCTATACTTAAGGGACAAATAACTAACTAACCTGATTTGCGTAACTTCTCCGAACCTCAGAACAAATTTGATGCCGTTCTCTGATGCTAAGGAAGCTGAGACACTGCTCCACTCAGTTCTCGGATCTGACACAGTCTGATCACTGATTATATCAGGAAAGTCCTGTTCTGAAACCACCATGTCCCCACGCTTAGTCAGGACTCATCTGGACTAGCTTATTTGAATGTTGCCAAAATTTGCCAATAGCAGCTCCTTTTTTAATACCTCTTTAGCTGACTCTGTCATGAACATATTCCTTCTTTAGATACATTTAGAGTCTATGTATAGTTAAATCCTGCTGGCTTTGTGGCCACGAGGTCTCTTGAAGGAGAACTCAGAGAGAAATCTCATGTTCTTTAATTGTAAATAATTGCAGGACAGGGATGTCACACTGAAGCTATTGTCTACCAGCAGCACATATTATTTACCTACCTACCTCTCTTTGTACAAGTTATTTTGGAATCATGAGTCTCTTTTCTTCCTTATGTCCCAACCTTTTTTTCATGAAAGAATTCTGGTTCTCTCATCTTGTAGTCTAGTTGATTTTGATGGGATAGAGTTAATTCAGCTTTAAACAAAAATGAAAAAAACTGAATGCTGGTGATAAATTTCATTTACAGAGAAAATTGATGAAATATTCAGAATTAACAGAATATATCTAAAGAATGGCAGACAGCCAGTAAAGCACTCAACTACTCTATAAACTCTCAGTGGTCGTAGCCAGTAGATTGTCTTTCCCCGTTAATATTGTTGTCTGCATGTCTGTTGCCATATCTGAGATGAACTTGGTTTCTCCATTATATTGCTTAATTCTGCAGTTATCTTTAAAATTGTATCAAGCTGAAAACATATCAATTATTATCTATGCATTGTTTTCTTTCTGAGAGTTAAAAATCATAATATACTTTCTTTTTCCTTACTCAGGTCAAAAACCAAATTTATTTCATTGTGATGATGAAAATTCATCCCTGGTCTAATGATGGCCTTAATTGTATCTAATGAATGCACTAATGGAGCAATTGATGAAAAGATAATCATGTTAGTACATTATGGGCAAAATGGTTGTATTTTATTAGCATTAAAAGATTTATTTTATGGTGCTTCTAAAAAACTAAACTTAGTAAAAATCCAAGTGAAAATTTCCATTTCATGTAGACTATAAGCAGTAAATTGCATAGGAATATTGATTAATATTTTTGGAATAAAATCAGTGATTTCGTGTATACGTCCAAGAAAATCTGGCCCCCAAAAAGACTTGTACAAAATGATGATATAATGTGAAAAAGAAAGTTCCAGAGGTTTTGGTCTTCCATCCTGCTTGGGCTAGCCACTACTCTTAGAAATTTATTGAACATTATACATAAATTAATTAATAAAATAAAAGAATAAATAAATGAGAAGGGACTAACAATATATGCAGATGAGAACTGGCACAGAAAAGACATATAATATGATGCTTTGTATTTGCTAGAGGTTGGCCACGGATTTGGCTATAAGGATTCCCATGATAAATGCTGTGATTGGGTAATAGTACATGGGATACAAAATATGGGAGTCTTCTAAATCAGAAATGGCTTCAGGGAGGAATAGAGTCTTTGAGCTGAATCGTAAGTGAGAAATCATAAATCAGCAGGCGAAGGGAAGAGGGAAGGACAAAGTGATGTCCCGAAGCAGTTGCACTAGTGGGGGAGAGGTAGAGAACCTTCGTCTCCATTTTAGAAGCTGTTTGAGACAGGAAGCAAGAAGTTGCTGGATATTTGTCAAATGAGTGATTCAATAAACAGTGGACTCTTGGGCACTTTATATAACGTCTTTGGGTCAGACTTTTATTGTATAGTAGGAGAGAATTGAACTAGACATCCCTGGTCTCTGTTCCCAGGTCTATAATTTGATCTGGCCTTTCCTTCCTCCTGCACTGTCAGCTCCCGGCCAGCACCCACAATGACCCACAGTCTCCTCACTCTGTCCCTACCTTTCAAATTTAACAGGTGGTAATAATACCTTTGAAATTATTTTTTAAATATATGAATTTAATACTCTTTGGGAAAGTTCTTAGAAAAAGCATCAATACAGACCAATGGGCCATCGATGAAATGAGGAAAAGCAGTGAATGAAGCTTATAAAGGAGTGGTGGGTTTCATTGGAAACAGTGGAATTCATTTTAGTGTAATTTTTTTTTGTATGTAACAGCATAATGATGTACTAGCAGTCTTTAAGACTTGGTTCCTAAAACTCATATTATTTGGGGATTTTACCCTTTGTCATTCAGTCTTTTAGTACACATTTTCATAAGAGCGATGTCTTTCTCACATTAACCTACCGTCATCTAAACATAATAACATCGCCATTTGAAAAAAAGCTGCCATTGGTGGAGAAGGCAGTAGGCTCCCAACGTACGTGCCAGGAAGTCTGAGCCTCTGGATATGATCGGATTAGAGCTCTTCAGCTGCACTGCCTGTGCTAACTGCCCAGCTGGAGATGTGCTCAATTCAATTTGCAGCAATTAAGGTGACAGAACAAATGCACAGAAGTCGTATTTTAAAGCAGATCCATGGAGAGAAAGAGGCATTGCCTGTGTTTTCTCCCACGATTTTAAAATGATGAGAAGGAAAACAGCCCAATTGTGAGGAAGAGTAGCATATGAGCTAACACAGCAAACAGTGGCAAGGAAAGGCACAGCCTGGAGTAGAAGGCCTGTTGGGGCCCCAGAGTCACAGCCCACAGCCCAGGGAAACACACCTTGATGTGCTGCCTTCCCAGATCTCCAGATGTCGGCTAGACGAGTTAGTGACTCAGGGACCTGAAAGAACTAGGATCCCAAGGCAGCCTTTTGGGTCAGGTTTGTTATTAAAATCCTAGGAAAGATATTCCTTTTAGCACTGAGTCTTCTAACCCAGACCGCATGGAACTATGGGAAATTGTGTGGCGTAGCAACAAACTACATGGCCCTGGGCCTTTGAAAATGATCTTAAGATGCTGGTGGCATTGTAACTGCCTTCTTATTATTTTACAAAGCATGAAAAGGAACTTAGTTTATTAAATATGAAGAGAAATACAGCAATAAGTATGTTTAAATATAAAAACAAAAATAACCATAATTATCCTCCTATATTTACAGCTCTAAAAACGCTATCATGATTAAACATTTTATTGCTTCTAAAAATTGAAGTCCTGGTATTTTCTATGTAAAGCTACAAACTCTTTACTGTATATGCATGTTAAATTCATGGAAAACTAAAAAAAAAATTTTCCAGCTAAATTTTAGGTAGGAATTTGTGTTGCTTCATGGAACAAAATTACTCTATTTTAATGAATTTGAATCATTTTGATTTTGCTCAAAATACGATTCTAAAAAGGTTTATGTATTACAATGATACCTAGAAACTATGTGACTCTGACTTCTTCCTAAGGCCAGTGTAACCCTTCCACCTATGAGTTTGGGAAGCATCTATATGATTGTTCTCCCCTGGATCCATGGCCCGTGTACTTCCCAGTTCATTCAGTGCTTTTGTTCCCTATGATAAGGAACATAGGCAGAGGAGTTGTCCAAATGTCCACAGTCTGAAATTTTTCTGGCATCATTTACTTGGTAATTAATATTGATTCCATGAACATTTATTGATTACCTCCTATGAGGAAGTCTTGGAGCTAGGCTCTCTGGGTGATCAAAGCAACAATCTAGTGAGAAACTAAGAAGTTTGCCACCATACCTGTCGAAGGCACTGGCTCAGCACATCTACTGTAGTCATGCCACCTAAATGCAAAGATAAAGATTGTAGAACTTCATTTTCCTTTGCTTGTTCACTAGTGTCTTCACTTATCATCTTCGTTCTGAGTGATAAACCTGCATTTGCAACTTGAGAAGTTCATGCTATTGATTTTCCTAGTCAGTCATGGATGGCCTTGGTGGTAGCGCAACTTATAAAATATTTAAAATTGAATATCTGAGTTCCAGGAACCTAACTCTGTGACACTCTGATGAAAAATCAACTTGGGAACAAAGTTCCTTTTAGGAGAAGGAGCCTGGAAGAGAAACAGTCGCATTCTGATGGTAGAGCCAAGCTATGGTGTGCAGAATTCACACTGAGATGAGGCAGGGAAGGTGCCTGCATTTTGTGCTCCTGCCCCACATGTTACTCTAGAGACATTTCTCACAACAGAATTAATAAATCCTTCATCCGTACAAACCATAATATAGCATGAATTGCATCTATGATAATGTTTTTGTTAATAACTTCTCCACTATGTTTGGTCTCATCTGAGGCTTGCAGGTGCAGTACACAGAAGGGACACTAATTACATTTGTGTTGGGTGGTGGGTGTCCCACAAAATCCATATTTAGAGCAAAATGCAGTGGTTAATATAATGGTAGCCAAAGCTTTCAACTTCCTCTGATGCAACAGTCCTTTTCTCCTTCTCTTGTACTTAATTTTAAAATGTTCAGAAAGTATAGTTCAAGAAATTATTTCAGTTAAATTTTTAGTAGGTAGACTATGAACTCAAACATGAATTCAAGAAAAATGTGTATTCTTGGAAGGAAATATCAGATGAAAATTGATTTTCAATAACCAGTTAATAATAGTCCCCCAAATATTTTAATGTACTTTCACATTTTATTTGATCCTGTTGCATAACAGTTATCTAAGAAACAAAAAAGGGAGAAAAATATTCTATCTTCTATCCTTTTAAAAGATGAGTTTGTGTTTCTTGACAATATTCTAAATAATTGAATGGAGAAAATAAAATAATTGTATTTTCTGTATCAATATAGTTTTTCTGAATCTTGACAATTATGATCATTGGGAAATCTTTTATTTTTGTCATAATGTTGGGTTCTGCATTTCTCACCCTTAATCCCCTATTATGAAAACATTTTATAGATTTTAAATTCAACTTTTAACACCAGCTATTTCAAGAACTTACAACTTCTTGCTAATTTCATTTTCAAAAAGGAAAATAGTTTCTGAAAAATAACTATACTATTTGAGGAATCAATGATCTAAAACAAATTTCAGTCCAAAATTATGAAAATTGGTTGTTTTGTCTCTTTTATGTTTTGAGTTGATCTTTTTCACATCTTTATTACAAACTTTTTATTAGCTAATAACATCTTATGCAAGTTGCTAATCTACAATGCCATCTCCAAAATGTGTTTTCTCTTGAAATTCTGGTAAGATAAAAAGTAATTTAAGAATAGACAGAGAAACTAGGACAGAAAAAACAAAAACTCACAGACAACATAACAAAACCAGGTGACAAGGTATCCCCATGAAGCCTAACATACAAGTGAGTGAGGAAAAAATGACAAGCCCAAGAGCCACGTGGTGTTAGCATCTACGTCAGAGGAAGCAAAGGTTAACAAGAGGTCATGTGACCTAGGAGTGGCAGAAACCTCAAATTTCTAAAATCTCCAAATTATTGGGAAGCAGGATGGGCCAATACAAGGAAAGCAGCTGAAATCCATTTTGCTATTCGAATTTCTGAGAAGTGTAAAGGCTGGATCCACATAAGGTCTGAAGTGACTAATGCATTCAAATGCCCTGTGAACTCTTGAAATTAATAACTGACACCCCTTAAGAAAAAGCCCAATATTTAGGAGAAACTGCTAGAGAGAAACTCCAATAATCAGAGTAGAGATGGTAGAGGCAAGGGAATGAAGTTCCAGATAGAGGAGATCTCAGAAAGTATGAGATCATACTTATAATGCTTCATGAAAAACCAAAACCAAAACACAAAACACAGAAGGTAAAAAGCCATGAAGCTAGAAAAGATAGCCTGGCCCACCTCTCTGTCAGAAGGGTGAAGGGGGAAAGGAGATACAAACCTCCAGTTGACAAAAATAAAACAAGTCATGGGGATGTCCCCATGACTTGTTTTATTTTTTACAGATGGTTACTAGACTTGTGATCACATTGTAAGGAACATAAAAGTCAAATCACTATGTTGTACACCTGAAACTAATAAAATATTGTTTGTTAACTACAATTTTTAAAAAGCAAATCAATTTGGCTTAAACATAAACAGCAAGAGAGAGGTGTCTCACTTAATTCTAATATAAAATGATTATAAGAGCACAGAAAATAAGCAGAAAAAGTTTCCTTTAGGCAGTGAAAGCATGCCAGGAGGATGTGCCCATGGTATGGCTAAAACTATAGCTCAATATTGCAAAATAAACTAAAATTAAGAAAACTATAGAAGAACCATGTAAATCAAAAGTTGAAAAACATTTATATGTGTATAAATACACAACACAACGAAGAAAACCAAAGTAATGGAAGAAAATAAATTTAAAACATTCCTGAAAGTACAGAAATGGTTGATGTCATATTGTCAACTGGGTATATGCTTATAATGAATCACAATACAAAGTTTAAAAATAAAAAATAAAAATTTGTCCTCTTTATTTTTATAATGTTAATAGAAAATGAATGTCTTTTATTTTCTTAAATAAACCCAAAGGTTTCTAAAGTGCTAGTTTATGGAAATCTTTTTCCTGGTGTCAGGGTCGCCTGTGGTAATTATTTGGATGCATCCTCTTTAACAGCAATAGAACTAACTTCTTTTAGCATCCACTCAGCTGAGCGCATGTGTGTTTTTTAGGATTGTGGAAAAAGGATATTACAGTGAACGAGATGCTGCAGATGCTGTTAAACAAATCCTGGAGGCCGTTGCTGTAAGTATGAAGTGACAGCTGTAGTGCAACTCCTGGTAATATCTTCCTTCCTTTTCTAGAATCTTACTGAAGAGGTATGTATCTGTGACAAGCCGTAAAATTTACAGCAAAACCATGTGAAGTATTTGTGAGAAAATACGTTCAATAAATTTTTATTTTCTATTGATTACTCGGACTCTTAAAGATGCAGCCCATCCATGTAATGCCATATGTTTGTTGAAATATTTTCTATTCTATTATTATGAAATCACATCAGACTTTGGTGCCTGTAGTTGTTACTTTCTTTCTCTCTCTCTTTTCAATTTATTTTTTGTTTCTTGAGTTTGTTCCTTTATTGTTTTGGTTGTTTGTTAGGAAAGGGGAAGAAGGTTGAATGTGATAAATACAGACCTTGGAGCATAGAGATTATTGATTTTTCTTTCAAGACAAAGAATGAGTGAATTAGAAGGAAAAATACTGACAATTTTGTTGAAGTGAGAAATAGAAGTTAATCTTTTAAAGTGGAATAAACTTTTATAAGTTAATGATGGAAACATGCACACACATTTACAAAATATAGATTTTTGAAAAGCTTGTTTGGATTGAATTAATAAGGAAATATTTGAGATAAAACTAACTCCACTGGTAAGGAAAATTCCCCATATGTTAAATGGTATCTAATACATGCTAAGACACTTTGGTGACTCATTTATTTTGAATTGGGGGTGCATAAATAAGACAAATTCTTCTCTAAACAAACAGGATGGGGCTCAAGGGGAGATATTGATCAGGATCAGTTAGAGACAGATCTATATGAAATATGCCTCAAATTAAGATCTTTTCTGTTTTCCAGTCAGTTATCCAATTAAAATCATTATTCAGTATCTTGAGAAATCAGCCGCAGTGACTCAAGCACACATCTTGTGAATTTCACCTACAGCCAAAATGGGAAGGAGCGGGCAGAAAAGGCAGAGAGGAAGGACAGAAAGACCCTGGAATCTAAGTAACTTCTGTACCAATGACAAAAGGCAAAAACAGCCTTCACTGTCCTTGCATAGGGCTCCTAGAAAGAGGGGATCTCTGGTCTAACCAAATCCATTATTGAGTTATCAACACCAAGTTCAACCGGCTTTACAGCCCGATCTTTCCAAATTATCGCTTCCTATAAAAGTGTTTTGGTCTTTTGCTCCGGTGGGAGATAAAAAGTTTGAATTGGGGGTGGATAAAAGCTGGAGAGGATGCCATAGAATTGTACTCTCTAAATACACAATGCAGCTCCTGATTATGTGAATATTGAATATCAGAGTCACCTTTTCACCATACCCAAAAGGATCACTTCATCCATTTTTTTATCAATCATAGTACACTTACCACCCCTGGTTTCCTAAGCTTGCCAACTAAAGAATGACTTTTAACTCTTCCGTTACCTTAGCACCTCACCTTCACCTTCCCAGCTTCGGATGAATTTTCCTTCAAATTGTCCATAAGCCTAATCCTGCCTCATGCCATGCTATGACTATTACTGGCATGCCTTTTCAAAAACAAACAAACAGAAAAATCACCTCTACTTCCTTCCAGTTCTTTAATTAAAGAAGTCTAGGCTCCTCTTTTGCATTGTTGTTCCTTTGTCACTTCTGAATTCGATAATGGCGATCTTATGCTTTTATTAAATACTAATTTTAAAACTTCATTTTTCATTACTATATACTATAGCTTATCTGTTCAAGTCAACTTGCTGGCAGTGGTACATTATCACTTTGCCAAACTCTGGCCGGCAGCTGGTGTGGCAGTTAAGAGTAGTTTGGGAGTCAAATAGAGATGGTTCAATTTCTAGATGCAAGCTTGGGCCCCTCACTAAACACCTCTGTGCTCAGTTCCTTCATGTAAAGTAGGCATAGCATTCCACCTACCAGGGTTGTGGAAAAGACTAATGAGGTAGGTATGGAAGCCATAGCAATGTTCAAAAGAGAGGGAAAAGAAAATAGGCCACTTCAGAGTCAGTGCATTCATCTAAAGATGTATTAAATGTTATTCTGTATATACATACCTACTTTCCAGCTAAGTACTAAAAACACACAAAAAAAACAATAAGTGCTCAATAAATATTTACTGAACAAATAAATGAAAAGAGTTCAAAGTAGAAATAGGCATGATCCTATATTTTATCTCTCTAGAGGATGGCACATTGACTGAAACATCCTTACTATCATTTTTCTACTCATCTCATATGAAACAAAGCTAAATAATTTGCTTCCATTCATCAGATTATTTTCTGCTCCCTTACGATCAATTAATTATCTTCCTGCCATTCTAAACTCACCTTTTTCAATATGTTCTTTCTGGCTTCCTCCACCCATTCAGATCAGCTCTGGATTCTTCTTGCTTATCAGAATGGGCATGTTTCAATTTAGTTATACCTTAAATAGCTGACTGGGAGAACATTCTTCTCATTCAATGAATGAGAAATGGATGCTTTGAGCATCAACATTTTCCACCTATTGGAGTTACCAATTAATAAATAAAAGGTCCCCCAACTGGGATGCCCCAGAGGGGTGTCCTACATAGAACAGAGGGACTAGAGTTCCTAGAAATCTATCCCAGGTCTGCAGAGATAGACTGTTATTCATAAATTTAAAACAAAAATTGTAATTTTTCCTACTCACAAAACTGCACCAAGCTCCAGTTTAAGAAGCAGTTACCACATTCCAGAAGAGCATTCATTGAAAGAAGTCTCACACAAAATCAAATTTTCTCTGATTGCTGCAACTAAGGGTTAAGTTAGAGAAAAATTTAAAGTCATTTCTCTAAGTGTTTCACAGGTAGAAAGCAAGCAATTTAAACTTGTGAGAAGTGGCTGACATTTATAAAATAGTTTATTGTCAACTACATAGCTATAGATAGCTATAAAAAATAGGACAGCTGGGAACTCAAAGTAATCAGTGATATGTCTCACATTGCCTCTGGATTACCCACTTTTAAGGCCGGTTTTTGAAAGCACAGAAGCTGAAAACTTAAAGATTGAAATATCCCTGGGAAATATGTTGCAGGCATAATTATATCCCTTAGGTAACAAGTCTTGCAATCCTTTTCTTCCTTCCTACTTCATCCCAATTCTTACCCCAAATATTTCACAGTATTAATTGACTGTGTTCTTGCTTCTTTGGCTTTTTAGCTTTAAATAGCATTTTTGAAACTTTTTGAAGTAAATTTGGAAGATATTTCCCCCTAACTAATTCATTCAGTTAGTCTTTGAGGTAAGGGCCTTAATCCTTCTCGAGTGTTCTATCTTCCTGAGATGAATTCCAGGTGGTCCCAAGTTAAAGTGTCTAGGCCAGTGGTCGGCAAACTCATTAGTCAACAGAGCTAAATATCAACAGTACAATGATTGAAATTTCTTTTGAGAGCCAAATTTTTTAACCTTAAATTATAGGTAGGTACATTGTTATTAACTTAATTAGGGTACTCCTAAGGTTTAGGAAGAGCCACATTCAAGGGGCCAAAGAGCCGCATGTGGCTTGCGAGCCGCAGTTTGCCGACCATGGGTCTAGGCCAGTGCAGGCATTCTGGAAGGGTCATTGTGTCCTCATGGGCCATAAAGTGCAATGCACACTTTTATGTCCTCCGTTTCCATATACTTATAAAGATAACCAGGGAATATTCCATCTCCTCTGACATCTCCTACTGTTACCACACAGCCAGTCCTTTCCTTATCACCACTGGTAGCCTACTGTTTCTCTGTTTCCAAAAAAAAATCATTGTCCCTCTTTTCCCCACCCCTACTGCCACCTTCCCTCTTTTCCTAGCCATGTTTGTCTTGGGTGTGTTTTAACGTCAAAGCCAGGACTTAAGAGCCTAGAGGAATTTGTACACTGAGAGTATACCCTGAATTTACTAAAATACAAGGAAATGGTAAATGATTAAATATGTCTGCTATGCCAGCACAGATATTTTTGGTTAGAATTGTTTTTAAAAATTGTAATGATGTGGGTGAAGAATTGCAAACAAAACCATCTAGTCCTTTAAAGTTAGGGAAACCCATATGGTATCTGAACAATGAAGAAAAATGGTAAATGAACAAGATTACGGGGATGCAGAAAAAGGATGAAATAGTACAGGCTGCTTTTGGTGAAAAATTTAAAAACCTGTAGCCACCCGCTCAAAAAAAAAAAAAAAAGAACAGATTTAACCTATTAGAGGATCATTGATAAAGAATCGATGACTAGGTATTGAAGACCTGGAAAGGCGAAGGGGGACACTGAAATAAGGGATTGTGGGGCTTCAGGAGGCAGCCTCCCCTTGGGCTGGGGAAACAGGGAAGAAGCTGAGATGATTAAAACCTGTCAGACTAAGGGAAGTGCTCTATAGACTCGCTGCTTGTCTGGTGCTAGTATCTCATTCTGAGCTCAGAGGAATTGCCCACGGAGCTGCCACTCAAACTTTTGAAAATGGTGTCCTAGCCAGCCATGCAAATGTCGCTGAGGAGGGACACTGGGATTGGTTCTATGAGCATTTGAATAACTAAAAACTGGCATCAACATCTGCTATAGAATGATGTGCTACTGCAGCATGAAAAATGGTTTCTAGGGTGCACAGGGAGAACAAACAGAAAGACAGATTCAGGAAGCAAATAGGATGGAGCAAGCCTCTCCATGTTCTCCCAGCCTCCTGCTCTCTCCCTGGTCCCCTCACACGGCAGCGCCAAACAGGGGGCCAGCAGGAAGTATGGCTTGTAATTCCAGTACCAGTTTCACAAAGTACATTATAGAATGGTGAGTTTAAAGTTTAGAGACAGTAGTTCAATAAATGGCACAGGAAGTTATTTGAAAACAAAAATCTCAAAGTTTCTGTTTCTATTTATAGAGTTTTCTAACATGTTCACAATCTTTACTAATGTGCATGAAAGGGTTCTGGAACAAAGAAGATATACATGCTGAAATGAAATCAAAACAAGTATGGCAACATTAAAATAAGTTACTATCTACATTTAGTACTGAGCACTATGCTTGATAACATTTATGGAT